CGCCACCAAATAAATTACTAAAAAAGTGATGATATGAACTATTCTTAGCTCCTCGGTGTCAGGGAATCCACGCAGAAGGAATTCACCAACTCTTGATTGATTTTCCATAGTGCTGCTTTTGCTTTGCAGTCTGTGAAAAGAACTCAAAGATCAGACTCCTTTTCGATGCACCAGGATTCAAGATGGGCTGGTACACTATGAGTACCGTTTTCTCAGACCTGTCAGCATTAGAGAGATAAGAACAAGTTTCATCCATGGAATGTCTGTAGCTATCCCCAAGGAGTTCATTTCTCAGTTTCATTCAGTACTGAATGAAATTATGTATTTGAAAATGGAGTTCAAATTTTACATTAGCTTTAATTTAAACAACAGTTACTATAATAACTTTCAGATTGTATTAATTGGCTCACAAGAGATTTTGTTTTGTTCAGCCCATTTTTAAAATGTTATCTTTTATCTATGCAATAGTTTTGTTTAAGTTGACTTTAACCCAAAGGGCAGGGTCTATAATAACTTTCAGATTGCTATGATTATAGCACAAAGTGATTTCCATCACCTTATATTGGTTCAAAGACAAAATGGTTGTGAAAACTAGATTTGGTGGAAGGAGGCAGAGACAAATGGGGCCCATGAGGACTTGCAGTAGGGATAGGGAATTAACCTCAACAAAGAAACTAACTTTTTTTAAAAAAACAAGAGTTTCAAATAAACTTTTAGGTATCACCAATGAAATTTTGGCAGATCTTTAAAAAGTGAAATACTTGTTAATTTAGTGTATGTATGTATGTATGTATGTATGTATGTATGTATGTATGTATATGTGTATGTGTGTATATCAACAGCACTATGGATTACCTACTCTGTACAACTTTTATAGCAGCATTTCTAAAACATGCTGATTGGGAAATTCTGGGAGTTGAAATCCATCTCTCCTAATGTTGCTCAGTTTGAGAAATACTTTTCTATATTATATAATATAATGCATAAAGAAATTCTCCACACAAAGAAAATAAAAACAACAACAACAACAAATAAATAAATACATTTTGACCAAAAGGCAATGGAAAATCATTTTTATTATTATTTATAAGGAAACTACAGAGATGTGTCATATTGACATCACAAATCGTACCAGGAGCATCCACAGGGGATAAAAAAATGAAAATTATTGTTGTGATATTTATACAACTTTTCCCCTAGTAGATAGCTTATAAGAGTCTGGGTTGGCCCTTCATAGCTTCCTGTCTGAAGTATTGTATAATGAAGCATAAATTCATGTAGTATACATACTCATATAAAGTTATTAGCAAATAATTAATCCCATTGATCTAACAGACTCTCCTCCTCTGATGATTTAATATATCCTCATAACTAAATTTCCAGTGTTTGATTTTACCAAAATTTAGATTGATATCTAACTCTTGGACATTTTGTTTTTCAGGATACCATTATATCATCCCATGAAACCATAACTCTGCATGAGAAGATCAATTCAGCCTTCCATCCTTTCTAAGGTGGGTAAAATGAGGACCCGGCTTGTGAGGGCAATAAGCTGACCTTGTATAAAATATACAAAAGTATGAAGGTTATTTCTTAACGCATTGTAAGCCACCCTGAGTCTCCGGAGAAGGGCAGCATATAAAAATAAATAAAAATTAAAATAAAATAAAATAAAACAATGAAACCCCAATAAAGCATGAAGTGCTTTTACTAGTCTGCCAATAATTGTGTTAATTAGGGTTGCCAGGTGTCCACTATTTGAGCGGACAGTCCGCTTTTTTCACATTATGTTCACTATTTTTTTTCACAAAATAGTGGACATTTTTTTTTTATTCAAAAGCTTTATGATGAAATGGTACGTAATCTAAAGCTGTACAGTCTAAGAGAATAAGGATAAGAGAATCGCGTTTTGTCTTTTTTTTAATAAGTTAGAATGAGACAAATATCGAATGCTCATTGCAATAATCACATTTTACACAACAGTGCAAAAAATGCATTAAAGCAGTTATCTTTTGATATCAAAAATGTAGTGCTGAAGGTTTTTGCCGAATTTTTGAATTCTGCAAAGAAACAAGAAGAGTTGAAATCATTTTTTGAGTTTTGTGAGTCAGAATTCCATGAAGTTTTGCGCCATGTTCCAACACGTTGGTTAAGTTTGTTTAAAGCGGTCGAAAGACTTCTTTTAAACTGGATACCTCTAAAATCATATTTTATTTCTCTTGGATCTGATGAGTGTCGTAAGGTTATCTGGAACCTTATTTTGGATCAGGAAAATGAAATCGCAAAGGACGATGAACCAACAATTTCAGAATTGTATTTATATTTCACGCACTTCTTCATGTCAATAATGCAAGACACCCTACTGAAGCTGGAAAGCAAGAAAATTCTTGAATGTGATCTTCACATTATCATGTGTAAGCTGCGTGATTCTTTGAAAAAAAAAATATGATGAGCAGTTTTTTGGAATGAAAGTTTTATTTGCCTTATGTAAAAAACATTTGCCTGAGAATGCTGTGCAAAAGTTCAAGAAAGAAGCCATCAATGTGTATCAAAGAGCAATTGCGTACCTAGAAAAGTGGTATAATTTCACTGATTCAGTATATGAGACACTAAATTGTTTCAATCTAATTGATCGCAATAATCCTCCAACTTTAGAAGAAACGACGAATATCTGGTTATTATCACCATGGCGAGAAGAACTTCCACCCAACACTCTCTTCAATGAAATTTCTGCCTTAGAAGAAGTTTATGTTCATCTGCAGGGCGATTCATCCCTTGATAAGTGGACGTACTTTTTGTGGACTGACGAACATAACCAACTGCTTGTATCACTTCGAAGTGAACTTTGTATATTTTTTAATATTTCTCAATGTTGTACTGAAATTAAAGAATTATTCCTTAAACACAAAGAATTGATCAAAGCTGCGCAGTCAAATAAAAAATACACATGACAGCAAAGTAAAATGTAATTTAATATTTTACATATTATTATAATATATTTGATATTTTGAATTTTAAGTAAAGTTTTGTGAAAAGTGATTATTTTAAGACATGTTAAAATGTTTGTAAGAAAATATATAATTTAATTGTATTTTTTTTTTTTTACTACTTAACCACCACCACCCCGCTTGTCCGCTATTTTTTGGAAGCAGATCTGGCAACCCTAGATAAAACATCTGCCTCTTCAACATGGATAGGCATTGTGGCCTGAACAATCATTTCTTTTGCCACCAGCTTATTCAAACTAACAATATTGATTTTCTGAAAAGATAAGAGGAGTGGTGAAAAGACTTTAAGTTGCAAAGGCATTATCTTGTAGATACAGGATAATGTACAAGACAGGTCCATATAACTTGTATTATAAATCTCAGGCACTTATAAATAGCTTGCCATGCAAAAAGTGGCAGCTAGATTCCTGATGGGCCATCCCCACATCAAATAAGAAGAACATTTATTCTGAAGTCCCCACATTGTTATCAGTAGGTTTTTGAACTCAGTTGAAATATCCATATTTTTAAAAATCCTTCATTGTGCAGCACTAGGATACCTCTAGAATTCATACAGTAGCAAAAATCTAATTTGGCCATTTAGTCTTCTCATGTAGAGATGGTCTGTTATGATTTGCTCTTTATGACTTTCTCCTGTTACAACTTTCTCTCTCAGGAGAAAGGCCAGGAAACAGGCTTTTAAAGTCATTATTTTTTTAAAGAATATTATCCCTATGATAATATTTTACAGATATGTTTCATCACTAGATTGTAGGGATTTTGAAGACTGATTAACCACTAACACAGTTGTAATAAGGGAACAAAACCTTCAAAATACATAATAAATGTACGAGGAATAATTATGTTTATGTCTTTTTATATACATATGCCTGTAAAATGTGGGTTGTTAACACATTATATTTATTTCCTAAAGTTATAACAACTTACCAAATACCAATATAAGTCTTTCTTGAAGAAGAATAAAAATAAATATTCTAAGAAGCATATCCAAACCAGCTTTGTTACATAAATTTTATCTATTAGTTGCAATTTCATTCAATCATATTTTACTATCTTTTGCTTAGCTCATTTTTTATTAACTATTAGTGTCTTGAGGCTGAAAAGGCATATAAGAGACAATTGTCATAAATCCAATGTATAGCAATTTTGGGTCCATGAATACATTAAAACAGATGAATGAAGTTTTATAAATGAAATAAAGTTACAAAATTAAGGGAATATTTATTTATTTATTTATTTATTTATTTATTTATTTATTTTATTTATTTGTTTAAATTTCTATACCGCCCTTCTCCAATATAGGACTCAGGGCGGTGAACAGCCAAAGTAAAAACAAGACATATATACAAAACATACAAAATCTAAAAACTGATTAAAATAATTAAATCTTTTGGCCGTAATTAAAACAATTCCAATTTAAAATCAGTTTAAAATTTGACTCAAGCCAGCCCAGCTAGTTGAAATAAATGGGTTTTCAGGGCCCGACGAAAAATCCGGAGGTCTGTTATTATCCGTAACTCTGGGGGGAGGTTGTTCCAGAGGGTGGGCGCCACCACAGAGAAGGCTCTCCCCCTGGGGGTCGCCAGCCGACATTGTCTGGCGGACGGCACCCTGAGGAGGCCCACTCTGTGTGAGCGCACTGGCCGGTGGGAGGCTATTGGTGGCAGAAGGCGGTCTCGTAAGTACCCCGGCCCTAAGCTATGGAGCACTTTAAAGGTGGTCACCAACACCTTGAAGCGCACCCGGAAGACCACCGGGAGCCAGTGCAGCTCGAGCAGGAGAGGTGTCACATGGAAGCGCCTCGTCGCCCCCATAATCCCCTGCGCGGCCGCGTTCTGGACCAGCTGGAGCCTCCGGGTGCACCCCAGGGTGAGCCCCATGTAGAGAGCGTTGCAGAATAAATGTCTTGTATCCCAATTCACCTCTCTCTTTACATTTTCTCTTTATATTTTGATAAATAAATCACATTGCTCATATTTCTTTAAAAAGAAATTACTTAAAATTAAGAAGTCTTATAAGAACAATTTTAATTTGCTTGTTTCTCATGCCATAGATCAGTGGATTTAAAATGGATGGTATAATGGAATACATTATTGTAATTATGAAATCAAGGTGTGAAGGACTGTTAGATATGGGCCTCAGGTAGGCAAAGCAACCAGAAAACAAAAATATGGTGATGACAATGAGGTGGGGAAGGCAAGTGGAAAAGGCTTTTTCCTTTCCTTGAACAGAAGGGATTCTCAGTATAGCAGAAAAAATTTGCCCATAAGTAAGAACAATGAAGAAAAAACAACCCATTACTAATATAGCAGTAAATGCTATAATTCCAATTTCAATTACATATAAACCAGAGCAAATAATTTTAAGTAGATGTGGAATTTCACCGTAGAACTGGTTGATATTGTTAGAACAAAAAGGAGTAGTAAATGTTGCAATAGTGTGTAATGCAGTATTAAGAAAGCTGACAACCCACACACTGCCAACCATTTTAATGCAGGATGTCCTGTTCATTATAATTTCATATTGTAAAGGATTACAAATGGCAACATATCGATCATAGGCCATAATAGTAAGGAGTGAAATACAATAGCTCAAGAAGAAGATTTATGAGAAAACTTGAGCAATGCTCAGAATAGGAAAAAATCTGATATTCATAAGAGAATTGAAAACAGCTTTGGGGATAATGACTGTAATAGAACCAATGTCTTGCATGGCTAAATTCATCATGAAGAAGAACATAGGTGTGTGCAGGTGATGGTCAAAAACAATTGCAATAACAATGAGAAGGTTCTCTGTTACTGTCATTAAATACAGTATAAGTAGTAAAATTCCATACATAGCCTGTAGCTTCCAAATCTTCGAGAATTCCAAGAGTAGAAACCCAGATGTGTCATTATCCATTTTTGATCATGATATCCCTAAAGTTAAAGGAACTGTATTTAAAAAATTCTATTAAATTAATTTTGGGAAGTTATGGAGATAAACTAATCAACTTTGAGTGAAATTACATTAAATCCCTGCTTCTAAATCCACATTCAGTCTTCTGAGTAACAGCACAGCCTCCTTACCTATCAATTGCCTTGTTTTAGTTTAAAGTTCTGCGTGCTTTCTCTTTAATATTTTTAATACTGCTAGTGCCTTACGAAAATCATTTTGAAACTATCCCAAGGATATTTTGCTTTGTATATAATTTAAGATATTAACAATATCTGCTCTCTCCCCCAAAAACCAAAAACCAAAAAAAAAAAAAAGGAAATGGCTCACCATCTTTAATCATGGAGATTTTGTCTTTTTCCTATTGGTTTTATTCAACCATCAGTAAGATTTTATGTGGAGGCATCAATGAGATTTTGTTAATTTATTTTCCATTTCCCTATAGTTTATCTGTTGGCATTGTTATAATCATTCTGGACTGTAAAGTTTTCTGTACTCTTTTAAGCATGTCCAAAGACTGTGTTATTTTAGCTCAGTAATTCTACAAGGTAAAAACAAAGGAAAAGAAAAATAATCTGGTGTCTGATTTGCAAAACTTCAGGAGAGAGCACTTTATAGTAGTGAAAACTACTTCACTTACTACTAGCTTTTAAGTGTTGGAAATATAAAATTTCGGTCAACAGGCATTTTGCAATGAAATTATTTTAATCACGTAATATACTACTGTATATGCAAAACCATTAGGCATTCTGCAAAAATGGTGTAAATTAGTAATACTTTCAGAAATGGAAATGTTAATAGTTTATTTTTATTAATTAACAAAATAGAAAGTAAATGAACAGGGGAAAAACCCAAATCAAATCAACCCTTTGCCTTCAAAACATCATCAATTCTTACACTTGCATATAGTCAGGGATTTTATAGGATTAGAGTCAGGTTTATGATTAACCAATTATACCAAGCAGGCACTCAGGATCATCAATTTCATATGTAAGTTGAAACACAGACATTAATTGAAATGGAACAGCTATGTAGAAAGTTTAAAACTGGGTGAGGAACAGCCAAATTCTGCTACTAAGGTAAGGTTGTGGAAAATAGTTTCCTGTGACAGGTCATACACTATGGCAAAACCAAGCACAGGAACAAGATGAAAGGTAGTTATGCTGATTCAGCAAGGCAAAATTTCAAAGCAGACTGGAGTTTCAAGATGTGCTGTTCAAGCTCTTTGGAAGAAGCACAAAGAAATGGGAAATACTGAGGACTGTAGATGCAGTGGTTAGCTAAGAAAAATTAATGCAGCAGGCAAAAAATTATATCATGCTTATTTCCCTTCAAGATTGGAAGATGTCCATCAGCACAGAACTGGCAGAAATCGGTGGGACCCAGATATATCTATCTACTGTCAAGAGATAAAAGTGATCTTCATGGAAGTATTGTAGCCAAAAATCCATAATCCAATGTGGAAACAAGGCTAAGAGACCCAACTAGGCATGAAAATATAGGAACTGGGGTGCAAAAAAAAAAAATGGCAGCAGGCGCTTTGGACTGATGAGTCAAAATTTGAAAGATTTGGCTGTAGCAGTTTGGTAACTGGAGAGCAGAAAAATAATTAGGGTTTGCAGGCAACAGTGAAGCATTGGTGGAGGTTCCTTCCAAGGTTGAGGTTGCATTTCTGAAAATGGAGTTGGAGATTTGGTCAGGATTAGCATTGATGTCCTCAGTACTGAGAAATATAGACATATACTTATCCATCATGCCATACCATCAGGGAGGCATGTGACTAGCCACAAATTTATTCTGCAGCAGGATAATGGCCTCAAACATATAGTGAATGTTATTAAGCAAGTTGTCCACATGCACACAGAAAACAAACAAATAAACGAATAAAACAACGGAAAATCATTTTTATTATAATTTAGAAGAAAACTACAGACATGTGTCATATTAACATCAAAAGATCTAACTGGGAGCATTCACAGAGGATAAAAAGTGACAATAATTGTGCGATATGTACACAACATTTCTCCTAGAAAATGGAAAGAGTTTTAATCACAGTTTCCTTATGGACTTTGGTCACCCCCTTTCTTCAGAAAGCTTCTGATTCTGACTCAGTTGGTCTCTGAATGCTGAATGTTTTTAAAAACATTAAATTTAAAAACATTTAAAACATTAAAGTTTTAAATGTTTTTAAAAATATGGATTTTTTTTTAAATGATCAGTCTATGAAATATTTTATACACTTTAGTAAAATTTAATGATAAATTTGATTATAGAATAGAATATAATTCTTTATTGGTCAAGTGTGATTGGATGCACAAGGAATTTGTCTCCAGTGCATAAACTCTCAGTGTACATAGAAGCAACAAGTGATAAATCATGATCATAATCATAAAATCATGATAAATCATTAAATACAGCACTCAGTTATAGTCATAGGATACTAAATAAGAAATCAACATAAATCATAAACTAAAAACAATCAACATAAATCATAAGACACAAAGAACAAAGTTATAGTCCCAAGAAGCTAAGGAAATAGGTAATAGGAAAGATACAGCTGTACTGGGTGGCTTGACATCCTATGGCATATATAACAGTGTTCTGGGAATTATACATTTAGCAGAGTGATGGTATGGGGGGGGGCAGACTGTCCTTGTGTCTAATTGTTTTGACACATTATAGGCAGTGACCTATAATGTCACCTTGAGGGAAGAAATTGAAAGTTTATGTCCAGGATATATGGCGTCTGTAGATATTTTCACAGCTGTCTTTCTGGCTCATGCAGTATATAGGTGCTCAATGGAAGGCAGGCTGGTTGAAATTGTTTTTTCTGCAGTTATAATTATCTGTTGATGTCTGTGCCTGTCTTGTTTGGTTGCTGTGCCAAACCAGACAGTCATAGAGATGCAAATGAGGACTCAATAATTCCTTTGTAGAACTGTATCATCCGTTTCTGAATGAATTCATATTCCTTATGAAGTGGTATAGATGGAAAATGGTTTTTAAAGCATTTTGCTACTTTTATTCTGTTATGACATGATGCAGGATATTGAAAGTTTTTGTAGAACACCAGATGAGTACAAATCCTTGACTACATTCAATAGCTTATAGGAACCTGAGCTGGTCCTTCAAGCTTAAATTCTTGTTGAATGTGTACAAGTATAAAGTTATTAGCAAATTAATCCCATCCATTTAACAGACAATCCTCCACTGATGATTTAATATATCCTCATTGATAAATTTCTACCAACATTTGATTTTATCAGAATTATGGTTGATTTACAAATCTTGAAAATTTTATTTTTCAAGGTACTATTTACACCATCCCATGAAACCATAACTCTGCCTGAGGAGAACAATGATGAAACCCTAATAAACTGAAATTCTTTTGCTACTCTGCTAATGGTGTTAATAAAACATCTGCCTCTTCAATATGAAAGGTATTCTGATCTGAGAGACCATTTCTTTTGCCACCAGCTTATTCAACTAACAGCACTGGTGTTCTGAAAAGGTAAGAAGAGGGTGCAAAGGCTTGTTAACATTATAGTAGGTCCTAGTAGAAAGAACTAAAGTTTCAATTCAAGCTTTGTTTTTATTGATTTATTTATTTGACACTTCATTGAACATAATGTACTTACAAATTTGTTGGACTTATTTACCCTATAATTTTGGTTTACTACTTATCTAATGTCAAATTGCTAGATTCATTAAACAGTGGTTCAGAGAGCACTGCTTAAATACATATCCTTCAAACACTACCTTTCTAAAATCTAGGGCACGAATAAATAAATAAATAAATAATTTATAATATCCTGCAAATTTTATTCCCATTCATTCCCCCCTTTTTCCCTATGGACTATTCCAGGTTCTGCCAAAAGAAACTTGCTTGCCAGCCAAAGTCCTCTAAAATATATCCATAACAAATGAAACATCATGGCAATTCATTGCCACCTAGGTAATATTGGTGAATGATTGTAGAAAAAAAAAACACTAACAAAGCAGACCATTCCTGCATTTATACGCATATATAATAAGCAAAATGATAAGATTTTTCCCCATACCATTAAAAAAAAATAAACTGAAAAAATACATGCATATTTTAAAACATAAAATATATTAATGATGTCATTATCGATAATCCTTCACTATATTCAACACAGATAATTCAAAATATATATTTACATATATCAAATAGTAATGCTTAAATATTTTCCATCCTGCTTCATTAATCAATCTATATTACATTGAATATTTAAGTGAGAAGAATATGCTTAATTTACACATTGATATGAAATGTATGAGTTTTTGATGGCAACATATCTACGCAAAGTTTACCAGAATAGTTGAAACCAAGAATGATTTTTGCACAAGTAATTAGGACAAATATTGAGAATTTGTTTCCAGAATGCCATTTTGAGTTCCTTATTCCTCATGCTATAAACTAGTGGGTTTAACAGTGGTGGTACCACAGAGTAAAATACAGATATAAATGGATATAAGGCTGAAGAGGTGGTAGATGTTGGACTGAAATAGGCAAGGGTACCACCTACCGTAAAGAGACAAATGACTGTGAGATGGGGTAAGCAAGTAGAGAAGGCCTTTTGTTTTCCTTGAGATGATGGGATTCTAAAAACTGCTCTGAAGATCTGCACATAAGAAAAAGCAATTAGAGCAAACTCAATGAATCCTAAACAAGAACCAAAGATGAGAGTCCAGAATTCGATGAAGTATGAATCTGAGCAGGAGATTTGGAGTAATTGAGGAATGTCACAGAAGAATTGATTGATGATTCTGGAACAGAACTCCACTGTGAATAAATTTCCAGTATAGAGTGTAGAGTAGAAAAGGCCAACCATCCATGCATTGGTTGCCACTTGGACGCAGGCTTTTTTGTTCATTGCCATTTCATAATGTAAAGGATAGCAGATTGCTACATAACGATCATATGCCATGACACCAAGGAGGAAGAGATGAGATGTTATAAAGAAAACAAAGAAGAAAACTTGACAGAGACACCCAGAGTGAGAAATAGTTTCAGTGTTCATCAAAGAGTTCAATACTGATTTAGGAATTGTGACAGAGATGGAGCCAAGATCTTGGAAGGATAGGTTGGCTAGAAAAAAGTACATGGGTGAGTGAAGTTGATGGCTGTAAAGACTGACAGTAAAAATAATGAGATTCTCAGTGAGTGCCACCAAATAAATTACTAAAAAAGTAATGATATGAACTATTCTTAGCTCCTCAGTGTCAGGGAATCCATGCAAAAGGAATTCACCAACTCCTGATTGATTTTCCATAGTGCTGCCTTCGCTTTGCAGTCTGTCAAAAGAACTCAAAGATCAGACTCCTTTTCGATGCACCAGGATTCAAGATGGACTCGAACACTATGAATACCATTTTCTCAGGCCTGGTAGCACTAGAGAGATAAGAACAAGTTTCATCCATGAAAAGTCTATAGCTATCCCAAAGGAGTTCAATTCTCAGTTGATCAGTACTGATACAAATTATGTTTCAAAATGGAGTTCAAATTTTACATTGGCTTTCCTCTAAACAACAATTATTATAGTAACTTTCAAATTGTATTAATTGTGTCACAAGAAATTTTGTTTTGTTCAGCCTATTTTTAAAATGTTTTACTGAAACACATTTTATCTATGCAATTTTTGTGATAAAAAGGTGCATGAGAAGGAACTTGTATTTTTGTTTAAGTTGACTTTAACTCAAAGGGCAGGATCTATAATGACTTTCAGAGTACCATGATTATAGCAAAAGTGATTTTTGTTGCCTTATATTGGTTCAAAGACAAAATGGTTGTGAAAACTAGATTTGGGGGAAGGGGGCAGGGACAAAGGGGGCCCATGAAGAGTTGCAGTAGGGATAGGAAAGTAACCTTGAAAGAAACTAACTTTTTTTTAATCAAGAGCTTCAAATAAACTTTTAGGTTGCAGCAATGTAGATCTTTAAAAAGTGAAGTACTTATTAAGTTATTTGTGTGTTTTTTTAATTAACAGTACTATAAATTGACTTACTCAGTACAACTTCTATGGCAACATTTCCAAAAACCACTTATTGGGAAATTCATTATATTGTAGACATTCAGGGCAGGCCCAGATGATTTGTATCACAAATGTGATCTCAGATAATTATCAATATTGTGCCGTACAAAAAGTGGCAATTAGATTACTTCATCAAATAAGAAGAGCATTTATTCTGAAGTCTCCACATTGTTACCAGTAGGTTTTTGAACTCGGTAAAATATTTATAATTATTAAAATCCTTTATTGTCCACCACTAGGTTATCTCTAACAATGCTAAAATCCAATCTGCCCACTTGATCTTGTCATGTAGAAATGGCTTATTATGATCCCCACCTTACTGTATGACTTTCTCCTGATGACTTCTTCTTTCAGGAGGAAGGTGAGAAATTGGAGGTTTTAATTCATGATCTTTTACAGATCATTTCCCCTATTACAGTATTTTAAGGAATCATTTTATCATTAGATTGTAAGGGTATTGAAGATTAATTGACCATTTGTAAAAATTAATGTTTCTGAGCCTTTGTAGAAAGCAATGGCATATGGAAGGGAGGGAGGATAAATTCCCAATTAAGAGAAGAAAGTGATGAACCAAAGATTAAGGAAGAAAACAAAAACATTCTCTCATACTAACACCCCCAGAAGGCAGACTGACCATTTTCATTTACGATGATGGAACAAAATATCTTGTGATTTCTTTTTTTGGTCAAAAGAACAGGAGCACCTGTATTAAGGACAGTTCCTAAAAATGTTTTGATAGTATTGGTTAAAAACTTTGGGAATAACTCAGTTATAATAAGGCAACAAAACCTTCAAAATGTAGTAAATGTACAAAGAATAATTATGTTTATGTCTTCTTATCTATATATGTCTGTAAGTTGTTGGTAGTTACAACATCATATGGATTTCCTAAAATTATAATGATTTACTAAAAACAAATATAAGTATTTCGAAGGAAGGAAGGAAGGAAGGAAGGAAGGAAGGAAGGAAGGAAGGACGGAAGGAAGGAAGGAAGGAAGGAAGGAAGGAAGGAAAGAAGGAAGGAAGGAAGGAAGGAAGGAAGTATGGTAAGAACCCACCCCAAGGACTCCAAATGCTTTTGACCCAAGCCCCAAATAGTCAAGAATGAGACTAAAGCAAATACCAAAGTCACACAAATAAAAGAACACCAGCTATATTTGTTTTTCTTCCCTCTTTCGGTCTGCTGTCAGAAAATAGCTGCAGGCAATCAGCCGGTGCAGACTCAAATTGCTGAATGGAAACATTGTTTAATTCATGAACTTAAGTAACCCTGGTCATTAAGAAAAGCAGAAACATTCACTCAAGCCTGTTTGTTCATTGAAGAAAACATGCTAGGACAATAAACAGATTAAAGATAACAGGACGAAACTAATTATATTTTCTTGACAGGATTAGGACCAAGGGAAGATGATAGTTAAAATTGATCACAAGTCTTTGCAGAGAAAATGTAAGACTTGTAAATGGAGAGTTGTAAATTTGGAATGGTCAGCTAAATAAATAAATCACTGTCAAATGTAGAAATATGGGATGCATCTGTTAGCTCTTTGTTGGTTAAGTTCTGAAACCTGGGTATGTAGATAGATGAAACAACTTGTGCTATCTATATCAGTTGTTCAGCTATATTAGATGTCTTCATTGAAAGGTTGGATGGTTGTCCTCTAGGAGTCATTCTGTACCAGAAGTATGGAACTGATAGAAACCAATGGGTGAGCTGGAACATTTTGGTGATGTGTGATGTGATGTGCGATGTGTGATGTGAGATACTCTTGTGGAAGAGATTTTGGTTTCTTACAGTGGCTCCTTGTGGCTTTCTTGTCATCCAGGTTCAAAGTTTCACAGCAGCCCTGGCTGTTGTTCTTCAGGTTGTATTCAATAAATTTATCCACATTCATGATCTCAATATGGATGAAAAGAGTCAACTTTATGGAAACCTGATTGGTCATGGAGGGTGGAGTTCTTGAATCAGAAATGTGCCCACATGGATTTCAGGTCTGGTATCAACCATAATTTCAGCAGGGTAGTGAAATAGCCATTATTATTTAAAAGGATTTTGTTATGGTTTGAGCTACTGTATCATTATCAAGCTCATACAGCTGTGAGAATTCTGTACTTTTTGATCTCAGGACAAATATTTGGATGCTAGGCACCTATAATGTAGGTGCCTACAACCATATACATTCTTCTATTATTGAGAATCCAAATCAAAAGATCAGCTTTTTTTTTCTATAGAACTAATCATCTAAAATAATATGATCCTAAGAGATTCAGAAAACCTCCAATCCACAGTGGCTGTTCTGTACTGCCTATGGAGACTGATTTGTTAACAATTTTGGGGAAAGTCACAAGGACAATTCAGTAGAAAAAGTCACCTAATTAATGCTGACAATAAAATCTCACTATCAGAGGTGTAAAGACAATATACAATGGAAAAACAAATAAAAAACCTGCATGAATGAAGATGGTAATTTTTTCTTGAATAAGTTATTTCTACTTTTCATCTCTTCATTATTCATCACAGGTTTTCTTTCCCTTTATGAACAATTGCATTTCCAGATAAACAAGTAAGCATATTATAATGTCAGGCATTATTCATTTCATCATTATTGATCAGGCAATGTTATTTAGGAGTAGATGAAAATAAACAGCAGTAAAATGTAATAACATATTAGGATGATCTACCATTTTAAAAATCACTAATTTAGATAAATGTAATTGTCTGAAGTTAAAGAATTAATTTTTCAAATGCAATTTAAGTTGTTAAGCAGAACTTATTACTTTTAATCCCTTTGCTCATATAAATTTTGGTTCAAAGTGATTTCAATTATATTACACATTATTAATTTGGTCAAAGAAATACATTTATTTTATAAGCAATTTTTAAAACACTGATTTCTTTATCATAAAGTAAGGATGAGAAATGCAGGACATCAAATACTTCTTTGAGGAATATCAAAGGGTAAGTCCTTAAATCAATTCAAAAGCCATTTAAAGAAAAATGTAAAATTATGGGGGTTTTAAAATATATATTTTAGAAAGAATCAAATAAAATCCTGTCCATAAACATTCTCTGGACAAGTTGATAATAATCCCCTCATGGACAGGAAAGAGTTACACTAGAAATGATAGTATAATACACTTTATATTTGAAAACTGGAATTGGCTCACCAATTTTTATTGCTTTATCTTTTTTTTTTAAATGATTTTTTAAAAAGTGAAAAATGTATCTGTTCAAGCTATTTGTGCTTTGTACAATGTATATTTATCAGCACATCATAATGGAGGGAACCCTGTCAATAATATGATTATTAAATATCAAGATATATTCAGGAAAGAAAGAAAAGAGATGATAACCAAAATTGTCTAACACTGCCTCAATTGACTACATCAGGATTCAAATAAAAATTGTTAGTAATTAATATCTCAAAGATAATGCCTGATTAAACAATTTTCTTTCACAAGATTTTAAATTTCTATTTCACTTATTGTGATAGGAAGGGCTGACACTTATGAAAAATGTAGTTTCTTAAATACCTATTAAAAATGAACAAAACTGTCATTTATAGCTGATTTTAAGACAAAATATAGCAATAACCTGATTGCTGCTAAATAACACTGACACAACTGATTTGTAAAAGAAGATAATTGACTGATGAGACTATTTAAATTGTTAATATGTTAAACGATGATTTCTTAGTTACTCTTAAAAATCTCTCTAAATTGTCCTGAATGGAATAACAGTTGTCCATTTTCTTCTAGGGAGTTCATGATGAAAAATGGATAACAACACATCAGGGTTTCTCCTTTTGAAATTTTCAACAATTTGGGAACTACAGACTATGTACATAATTTTATTACTAATACTGTACATAATGACAGTAACAGGGAACTTTTTCATCATCATTGCTGTTGTTTCTGATCACCACCTACACACCCCAATGTATTTCTTCCTGATGAACTTAGCTGTGCAAGACATTGGTTCTGTTTCTGACATTATTCCCAAAGCTGTTTTCAATTCTCTTACGGATATAAGGAAGATTTCATATGTTGGTTGTGTTGTCCAGGTCTTCTTGATTCTATTCTTCTTTGGCTCAGATGTTGCCCTTCTTACAGTTATGGCATATGATCGATATGTTGCTATTTGCAATCCTTTGCAATATGAAATAATAATGAACAGGAAAGCTTGTGCCAAAATGATTGGAAGTGTTTGGACTGCTTGCCTTCTCAATGCTGCATTGCACACTTTTGAAATGTTTACTACTCCTTTCTGCTCTAATATTATCAACCAATTCTACTGTGAAATTCCACATTTACTAAAGATTACTTGCCCTGATTCATATGTAACTGAAATTGGAGTTGTAGTGTTCAGTGTTTCATTAACAATTGGTTGTTTTGTCTTCATTATTTCTACCTACATACTGATTCTCACTGCTGTTCTAAGAATCCCTTCTGTACAAGGGAGGAATAAGGCCTTCTCCACTTGCCTACCACATCTCACTGTTTTTTCCATATTTATGTTTACTGGTTCCTTTGCTTATCTAAGACACATATCTGATCATCCATCCCATCTTGATTTCATAATTACAATAATGTATTCCATTATTCCACCCATGATGAATCCATTAATCTACAGCATGAGAAACAAGAACATCAAAGTTGCAATTTCAAGATTTTTTGGTCAATTTAATTTTAAAGAAGTGTTACTAATGTAACTATTTTTGTATTTTAATAGGGAAAAGAAATATATACATTTGATATAAAACTTATATTACCATCCGCTGATTGCAAACATTTAGCTTAAATTAAAAAGTTTATTTTATTGCTTATGTGGTTGATCACATCTAAGCTAAGACTGATGATGCTATGATCCATTGAGCCAATACTGACCCCTGGTGAACATGGGACCATTCCCTGCAGTTCTCTTGGCAATATTTTTGAAATAAAGTCAATGTTTTTTTTTTTTATTTCCCCATCTCATATGGACAGTTTCCTTCAAGTCATATTTCATTACAGTTAAATTCCTGCAGTTAGACCTTGCATACCCCTAGCATGTTTATAAATGTGACCCATAATAAATAGGAAATTTATATTTCTTTTATTGTTGCCTTAGCTCTGTTCTCAATTCTGATCACAATTTTGGGGGATGAGCTAGCTGCTGCTTTTCAGCTAGATTGATTAATTATATGCCATTAAATCTTTTTCAACTCCTAGAAATCATAGATAGCTTTTCTCTATGATGTTTATCCCTAATCTGGTGTTTCAAATCTTCTAAAATTCATCCACCTTGCTGCGGTTCATCGTCTTCTTTTTTTTCTCCCATCTTTATCAGCTTTTCCCTGAGAGTTGGTCTTCTCATAACATGTCCATAGTAAGTTAAGTTGAGCCTGGTCATTAAATTAATTGATCGTTTGTACTCCACTCCTCCTATGGTGGCCTATGACCATAATAAAGATTTGATTGATTTTGATGGCAATCAGTATTACTTCTATATTCAGTGTTGCTTAGTGTTCAAATGAATGCACAAAAATATATATGAACAATTGTAAATGTTTTAATATTTATAAATTTACCATGGCTTGGTTTTGTGGTTATAATGAAAATAATCATCCTGTTTTCAGTCTGTCTCTTTAGGAGCTTCAGCTGTACATATTTTTATGCTTTGTGAACATTTAACATAAATATTAACAATTAGGTCCTTGATTTAAAAAAAATAATAATTGAGGAACCAGTGTTTCTCATGGAAACAATATATTCAGAAATCATATAGCCTATACGATTTCTGACTATATTCAAAATCATTCAAAGGGGAAATAGGGACATTGTTTGTTCCTCCCTCACAATTCATTTTCCCCTACTAATCATTTCCTGGATAGGAAAGAATAAAGAAATGCTGCAATAATATTTATTTAGGCAGTGAACTGTGTGTATTACATTTCCAGGCCTACTCAGAAGAACTTCCACAGTTTTAATGTGATTTCATGTTTTCTTATTTATATATATCTGGAAGACACTGTAGACAATGGATTTACAGAACTAAAATTTTATATAATCACACAATCACAAATTTATATATTATCTTTGAAGAACTAGGAGGGCTAAGGAGAAAAATATCAGAAACAAAATATTTTTCATGGTATGGATTAACAGATATTAAATTGATTACAAGAATCCGTGTGCTACTATCATTCTAGCTGTTTAAGTTGATGTGAACAAACATGGCAGGATAATTTCTGATAAGGTTGGGCACACAAAACTTCTATTCCAAAGTGAGGAAAAATAGAAAACAACATTACAGAATCATCACCATCACAATAATCATAATTATAATCATTCCTGAAATAATAATGATAATGTTCCCACTGAATTTTTAGGATCAATTTTCCTACAGTATCATTCTCATTCCCCTGAAAAGAATTTTGGGGTTGTCAGGGTTCCAAGTAATAGTTCCACATTGAGCAAAATTCCAAGGCAGGGGGATTTTCCAAAGAATAGCTTTATTGGGAATATCATATTGGCACAGATCTGGTGAAAACTGACTCTGAAGGGTCCCATGGTTTTCACCTGATTAAAAGCAGGGTGGATAAAAATCAATGATTTAAAAAAAAAAAAAAACCCAGATTTTTTTGATTTAAATTGGATTTTTTAAAATTTAAATCAGATTTTTTTGATTTAAATCGGATTTATTTTAATAAAAAACTTTTGGGGGTAAAAATCTATCGTAAGATAGTTTTCTATTTAAGATACATAAATAATTTAGTTTATTCAGCATGAAATGGAGCTTAGTAGCATGAGGCTGTATATTCTGCAACACAGGGACTATCGGTGAGTCAACAGTGGGTCAAAGGGGTAGCAGAGATGACAGTTGCTCTTTAAAAAATATGATTTAAATCGAGTTGATTTAAATCAAGCCTTTTTACTAGTGATTTAAATCATGATTTAAATTGTGATTTAAATCAACTCGATTTAAATCAAATCCACCCTGATTAAAAGTAAAAGTTTTTCCCTCAACCCCAAACATTGTCACATGGTCCAATCAAGGCACTGTCTAATGGTCTGGTAACACTACTCCTCCTTCCTCCAGATGTGAGAACGTCTTTGATTCCCAAGAGAAAGTCTTTTATTTTGACTACACAACCCCAGATATCTCGAATCCTCCCTACCTATCCCTCAGCTCCAGTGGGGCAGCACTGAAGGTCCAAATGGCTTCAGCCAAGCCACCTTCAGGGTTGACAGGGGTTTTAAAACATGAAATAAACAAAATTAAACAGTAAATAAACAAAACAATTTTTTTTACAAAACTTTGACTTTATTATTGCACTCATTCATTCCTTAAACATAATAAAAATCTCTGTAAAATTCTAAAAATATTAATATTTATATTGTCACTACTTTTCAATAAACGCCAATAATTATGTAAAGGGAAAGAAAAGTAAATATATTTTGCTTGTAAACGAAGTGATAGCAGGAGACCTGCAGAGCTCAATACAAACGTGCGTGCGCACACACTCCTATTTTACATACACATGAAGTCCCTGTGTGATGTCATCCATTGACATGGGATTAAATGTCATCTATATGCTGATTGCTCTCAACTGTTTTTGATCACAGGAGAAATATGTGGACACTGGAGTGCTATTCAAGTACCTGAAGTGTTTTGATTTGGATGAGAAGGAACATGTTGGTCCCTGCATTGAAATGACTGATTGCCTTGGGGTTCTTCCTAGATTTACAATGCTGTTCAAGAACTAGGTGGCAAATATAACCTGGAGGGCCTTTGCACTGTTCCATCTAGTGTTCCAGTTAGAACACTTCCTGAAATCAGAGGTTTTACTCACTTCTTACTTGGGCTTTTCCAACATACTGTATACAGGACTGCCCATAATAATAATCTCCTATTTGAGAAGATCAAGCAGAGGTGCTTTTCTCTGTACCATCACTCAGATATATTGGAACATGTTCTACAAAGTGCTGTCCTTAAAGAAGATTTGGAAGAGATACTTGGTTCAGAATATAGCAACCTGAATAGTTAGATAATGTCAAGTTTCCTTATAACGATTCTGCTTCGAAACCTACATTTGTTATAGTACATTAAATTCATTTCAACAAATAATGATAACATATATAATTGACATCTGCCAGTTAAGAATAAAGAAACTGGTTGAGGAAAAAAAAGAAAGAGAGAGGAAGAGAGGGAGCTAGCAGCCTCAATTCTGTCATATTGACAATGAAATATTCTTGGATTCAAATCCAACTTCCAAAAGTTTTCATCCAACCTAATTTTTTTTTTAAATGTGTTTGCTTTGTACTCCGTATTCTAATGAAATTAATGTTATAAAATGCTATTAAACAAATTCAAATATCTCTATACCCAAAATAATAAAATGATGCCATAAAGCTTGATACTGTTTAAACATCTGTAAGAGTCATCACCCTGAACTTTCAGCAGACATAATTGAAAACATCAAAATCTTTTAATTAATTTGGAGAACCAAGTTTTAATATAATCTTTACTAAATGTTGATCAATTACTGTCTGAATCACTCCAAACAGTATTCAATAGGAAATATTTCAACAATCTTCTTCCCTCTTTTTCTTCTTCTAGAGGTATAATTATTAAGAATGCATAATGACACATCTGAGTTTCTTCTCTGAGAGTTCTCAAAGATTTGGGAACTGCTGATTATGTGTGTAACTTTACTACTGATACTATTTAATGACAGTAACAGGGAACACATTGATTCAGTTTCTATCATTATCCTCAAAGCTATTTTTAATTCTCTTATGAATATAAAGACTATTTCTCATTCTGGATGTGTTGTCTAGGTCATGTTTTTCTGTGTTTTCACAGGATGTGATGTTTCTCTCCTTACCATCATGGTCTATGATCAGTATATTACCATTTGTAATCCTTTACAATAGGAAATGATAATGAATAGGAAAGTTTGCACCAAAATAATTGGCAGGGTATGAATTGCTAGCTTTCTCAAGAGTACATTATACATCATTGTCACTTTTATTACTCCTTACTGTTCTAATATTATCAACCAGTTCTTCTGTAAAATGCCATATTTACTTAAGATAGCCTGCTGTGATTCATATATAAATGAAATCAAAGTTCTAATTTTCAGTGATATATTAGGAAATGTCATTTTTTTTGTTTTTTCCAAGGTTTATTGGATTTTTATTTTTAAACATATATCAACATCAATATATGAATAGTGTGGCCTCTGGGTATGGTTCATATTAATATAGATAACAACAGTCAATTGTTACATTAATCAAATCTATATAATCCCAATATTAATGTACATGATTATTTTAAAATAGTTATTCAATACTAGCTGTACCCGGCCACGCGTTGCTGTGGCCCAGTCTGGTGCTTCCGCTGGGCTAAAAGAGTGAGGCTGAAGTTCCAAACTCTCCACGAACATTTGGTGGGTGTGGCCAACTCGACGTCACTCACTTTCATCAGTCACGTGACAGCCCCCGAGCCATGCCTAGTTAGCTGGTGATTAGGGAAGAGAACCGGTTGCTAAAAAACAATGAGAACCACAAAATCCTCCCTCTCTGTCTCCCCCTCTCTCTTTGTATCTCTCTATGTCTTTCTCTCTCCCCGTCTGTATCTCTCTATGTCTCTCTCCCCCCACTCTGTATCTCTCTATGTCTCTCTCTCCCCCTCTTTCTGTATCTCTCTGACTCTCTCTCTCTCCCCCTCTCTCTGTATCTCTCTGTCTCTCTCTCTCTCTCCCACCCTCTCTGTATCTCTCTCTTTCTCTCTCTCTCTCTCTCCCACCCTCTCTCTGTGTATCTCTGTATGTGTGTGTCTCTCCCCCCCGTCTCTCTGTATTTCTCTATGTCTCTCTCCCACACTCTCTCTGTTTATCTCTGTCTTTGGCCCGGCCTCTTCTGCATCCCCCACCATTGCCCTTAGCTTTTCAGGCCAGGCCTTCGCAGCTCTCCGTACCACAGAAGAAACTCAGGAGCCCCCTCCGTCCTCCCTACCCAGATGTTCTCTGGGGGCTCGACGGGGAGACACATAGCAGGGAAGGGAAGGGGAGGGAGGGAGGGAGGGAGGGAAGGGATGCAGCGGGGGTTCGAGACTGGTTTGGGGCTTCCCACCCAAAGGAAGAAAGCGGCAAAGCCAGGAGCCATGCACACCCCACTGGACTGCTGCTGTGCAGTTCTCCTCTCCTGCTCTTCCAGGCGAAAGGAAGGAGGGCCGGCCATCTTCCCTCCTGGCCATTTACACCCCCCCGAAGCCTCTTCGGAGCCCCTTTTCTGCCAGAGGCCAAAATTTTCATGTAGGCTCCATGAACTGCCAGAGCACCCACCTGGGAATCAAAGGCAGTGCTGGTCGAAGGCAACCCTGAGGCTCCAGTTCCCTCCATCTCACACTCACTGACCGGATTCACCTAGTGCTGGTTAGCGGCTGGTCTTTCTGACCTCAGGGCACGTAGTAGCACTGGGCCAGGCGCGATTCAGGCCAGGTGAAGGAGGCAGACCCAGGCAGCCTTGTTGCCAAGTGTTCTTTGGAGGGAGCCCCAAGAGCGCCTGGAAAGGGGGATGGGCAGCAGCGGCAGTGTTGTGACTCCAACCCTTAAGCCCATCTTATCGGAGGGAGAAGACTCCGAAAGTGAAGGAGAGGACTTGGCAAGGCCTCCCTCTCCAGGACCCTCCTCTCTGGCAATGCCTCAGGTGTCTTCCGAAGGAGAAGAGATAGGCCAGGAGCCAGGCATCTCCGAGCAGCTGCAGTTATACAGCAATGGAGATAAGTCTTGGCTGGATCCCCGCCAGCGTCGGAAAGACAAGCGCACGCAGCAGAGAAGAAGGTGTGCCAGAGATTAAGCTGAGTCACTGGACCACACCCCACAGGGGATAAAAGGGGGTGTGGTGGCCATTCAGGCTTTGTGATGGACAAAACTGAACAGCTAGCAAGTCATACTGTGTCTCTGGAACTTTGTTATCTGCCTTCCTTGGATTCATTATGGACTTGACAATTCTTTGGCTTTGTGAATTTATTTTGGTTTATCTGACAGAGGAGGAACACCTCCCTCTGTGAGTAAAGTTTTCGGCAAGCAGCTACTGGGTTGCTGCCAATTCTGTTATCAAAGGAAATTATTGTCTGCAAGTTTATTTTAACTCCTGGCTGACTGTTTGTGTGCGTGTGTGAGACGGGGACAGAACATCTTGTCCGTCACCTGAAATTTAACCCATCTTTTAACAAAAATGGACCAACAGCTGCAGCAGCAGCTACAGCAGCTGCAAGATGATAATCAGCTTCTGCAGCAACAAGTAGCTCAATTAATCACCCAACTTGCTTTGGGGAATGCTCCTGCAGCTCTCCCTCTACCTCCTCTTCCTCCTACTCCACCTCTCCATCAGAAATGCCCAGTGAACATTCCAGATAGGTTTTCTGGGCAGCCAGAGATGTTCCCGGCCTTCATGGGACAATGCCAATTATTCATGACCATGAGACCAGAGGATTTTCCAGATGACCGGGCTCAGGTGGCATTCATGATTAGCTTCCTTCCTGGCTCTACCGTCCGATGGGCCATGCCCCTATTGCTTCAAAATAGCCCATTGCTCTCGGACTATCAGGGCTTTTGGCAACACCTGCGCGTCATGTATGAGGACCCCCTTCGGACTCAGACGGCAGCTAGGTGCCTTAAGGACCTCCATCAAGGGAAGTGCCCCCTGCAGGACTATATCGCTGAATTCCAGCTTTTAGGACAGGAGTCTGCTTGGAATGAGGCAGCACTGATGGACACCTTCCAGGATGGCTTCTCAGATGAGCTGCAGGATGAACTGGTTTGGGTGGAGGTGCCTCAGACCCTCGACGCTCTGGTGATATAATGCCTGAATATCGACGCCCGCCTCCAACGGCGATGGCCCGTCGGCACCTTCAGGAACCACTGTCAGCTTCTGCACCCCCGCATCCCACATTGACAGTGCCCCGGGCCACCCCGCATTTTGTGGCAACGGCTGAGGAGCCCATGGAGCTGGGAGCGGCCACACCTCACCTGACAGCCCAGGAGCGGATGCAGAGATACCAAGGGGGATTGTGCCTCTATTGCGGAGAGGCTGGACATTTTGCCGCCTCTTGTCTCAGGAAGCGGAGTGGGGCGCTCAATGCTGTTCCTGAATCTCAGCATAACCAGCCGGGAAATGGGGCAGGCCTGGTCTAGGGGAAACCCTAGGCTGGGCACGTATCAACGCCCCACCAGAATTAGCGGATGTGGACTCTGGGCCCCCTCAGCACCTGATTCTGGACACCCAGGTTTTGTTGGCCAACTGGTCAGAGGGGCTTCAGGTGCATGCGCTGGTGGACTCAGGGGCCACGACGAATTTCAGGGACCAGGCTTTTGTGGCCCATTTTGAGGTCCCCTTGGTTCCGGTGGACCCTCCGTTGAGGGTCGAGACTATCGATGGGCGGGAACTCATTGTGGGGCCCATTAAATTCGCTACCCAGCCTTTGCACCTCGCCATTGGGGCACATGAGGAGGCAATCCAATTCTATGTTACAGCAGACCTTCATTTTCCATTGGTCCTGGGGATGGCCTGGCTTCGGGCCCATGATCCTCAGGTGGCATGGTCGAGAAACACCATCTCTTTCCTGAGTCTGCAGTGCGTTGACCACATATGCCACACCTGTGCCAGCCAGGATGTCTCCACCTCTGCCGTCTCCTTGCCTCCTGAACTGACGCCCTTCACCGACATGTTCAGCGAAAAGGAGGTGGACTGATTACCCACTCACCGACCCTACGACTGCCCTGTGGATCTGCTGCCCAACGCGCCACTGCCTGTGGGATGCCTGTATTCCATGTCCAAGCCTGAGTTGCCCGCCCTACGGGACTTCTTGGACAAGAACCTGGCCCGAGGGTAAATCCGGCCTTCATCCTCCCCTCTTTCGGCCCCGGTTCTCTCTGTGAAGAAGAAGACAGGGGACTTACGCCTGTGCTGTGATTACCGCCGGTTTAATGCTATCACGGTGCAGAATCCCTACCCCCTGCCGCTCATCCCGGTGCTGAAT